TTAACAGTTTTCTAAAACATTAAAATAGTAATAATATGCTGATCTAAAATATGAATGACTAGAGTTCCATAAATCTAATAAATACTGGTGGAATGAATGAATGAATGTTAGATTCTAGAAGATAGAGGAAGGAAACTGAATTTTTTAATGGCTCTTTACAATTAGCATTTACTAAGAGAGTAAAATATTTTAAATTATCAATAATAGAGGTAGAAAATAGATTCTACTTATTTCCTTGAAGTATTAAATAGCATGTATAAAATATTTTTCATACAATATAATCATAAAATACATTTTTAGAGGGTTTAGTAGTTTAAGGAAAAAGGATAGAAGCAGTTTGTGATTCATGAAATTCATAGAATTATTTCTAATTTTACAATCATGAAATATTAGTGCTGGAGGATCACCCTCTTCATTGTTCATTACCTAAGAAAACTATCTAAGAAAGGGTAATTGACTTGACTGAGGACTCTTGGCTAGTCAGGGACAGTGCTGAAGCCAGACTCTAGCTCTCATGACAGTTTTATTTTTTCACTAGAAGGTGTCTTTTAATACAACTGAAATGTCACGAGTCTTTGTGGGAAAGGAGGGTGGTGCACTGTATGTTTTTTATTTAAACGTGTTATTGGTTCAAGGGAAATTTAATTTTTATGCTTTTTCCTTGTTTAGACAAAAAGATATAAAAGAGCACTATTGACAGGGACTTTTTTTCCTTTAATGGAGGCACTGAGGATTGAACCCAGAACCTTGTGTACATTGAGCACATGCTCTACCACTGAGCTATACCTCTCACCCTAAGCTATTGATTGTTTTTAGTGAAGGTACTAGGGGTTGAATCCAGGATTTCATGCATGTGGAAGGGACTTCTAATATCAAAGACCACAACCAACCTTCTATGACAAGCAACACAGAAAAATGTATTTTGCCAAGTATGTAAAACCTTAAACCTTAGAGTGTTTGGAACTCTTATTTAAAAACTCAAAGTGAATTCTAAATTTTTCTCTATACTGGGTTGGGTTTTTTATTTTTTCTTCTTTTCTGTATCTCTGGGTAAGAGGTAAATGGAGATCTTTATTTGCAAAAGAGCTGGGAAAGTGCTGGAGCAGAAGCCGGGAAAGCTGTGTTCAAGCCCAGTTCCCCCTCTTAATAGCTCTGTGACACCCCCAGCATGTCACATCGTAGCCTTTCTAGGCCTGTTCTTCCTCTACTACGTTTTGGGTTGCTGCAAAGATCGAATAAGATAATATTCCATTTGTAAATTTGTTTGGTAAGCCCAAGGCACTCTGATCATGTAAAATTCTAGTATCTCTTATATACAATTACTGGTTCTAAATAATGTTTATTTAAAGATATGAATGATGTAAACATATTTCACCGTAGTACTCTGAATTTCTATTTGTTATGTATGGTCCTTTTCAGAGGGATCCAAAAGAGGGCCACCCAGTGGGATCTGAATAATGGGATAGGCAGAAGTGTGTTTTTATTTGTTTCCAACATGATAAGGAAGTTTGCCTTGGCACATATAGCCTCCTTTTCTTCAATAAAAATTCGATTTGCTAAGTTAGAACCAAAGAGCTATAGTAATTATTACGTGTCCTAAATAATAATAATAATAATAATAATAATAATGCAAATCAGATGAAGAAATGAAAAACATCTGTTGATTAAATTGGGTGGACAAAAGACATGTATATATTGTTACTCCCTGCTAAAACTCCAGTATTATAATAATAATAATAATAATAATAATAATAATAATAATAATAATAATAATAACTCATAATGACAAAGAAAAAAAGGAGGAGACAAAGATAAAAGATATCAGTAAATTTTTAGAAGAGGGAAAAGTCACTGAAAGAACAGGGAAAGCTTAAACCTATGGGTTTTCTGAAACAAAGAAGGCCAATTCACACTGCAGAATCCAGAAAAGTTTAAAGAATTGGAGGCAGCAGGTAATTTAAAAGCCGATCAGAGGGTAGAGGCTGAAATCAGGAGGACTGTTGAAAGGCTGTCAGATAAAAAAGACCCAAAATCTTTCTTCATGCCTGCACAGCCAGGAGGACCTCCCGTTCCACCCTAAACAGGAGAGCAGGTTGTTCTCTGGCCCTGGACTCAAGGTAGGCACAGGGGAGGGTGGGATGTGGTGTCATGCAGGAGCCCGGGGACTAAATGAGAGTCATATATGCACTGAGAGATCTCCAGTCCCTCCACTCAGTCATCTTGCAAAATGCTAGCGACCAGGCTTTTACCCACCTCCTCAACAAGTTAATCGATAGGAAAATCCTCTAAAGAAAAAAACTCCCCAAGAAAAGATCTGACAATGACATTTGGGATGCCTCATCAAAACTGTTAGACTCCTGCCTCAGCATCCCTATCCAAGCTCTCCAAGGTGACAAGCCCTGCCCATGAAACTTCTGACTGGCTTCTTAGTGAATCACTATTAAACATTACCAGACAATCAAAGACATTAGACATTTGGGGAAAGCGTTCAACATGAAAAACAAAGACCAAAATGCACAAACTAGAAGAAGGAATAATATGGAAACAGAAAATGTAGAGTGCGGAAGAAATTTTCAAAATGTTTGATTAATATCCTCAAAAAGATAAGAGTATATATCATACTAACGAGAAAAGAAAAAGTTAATATTAAAAAAGGAGACCATTAGGAAATAAGAAATTGAAAATGTATGAGCAAATTTTTTTAAAAACATCAATAGAAGACATGAAAGATAAAATTAAAGAAGTTTCCCAGAATAATATAAACAAGATGGGAAACAGGAGCAAAGATGGTAAGTAAATTAAAGAATCAACCCAAGAATTTGGACATTTAACTAATATGAATTCCAGAAGGAAAAGACAAAAATAAATAGAGGGGCAAAAATTAGCAAAGAATTAAGATGTAAATATCTCCCAGAACTGAAATATATGAATTTCCAAATTCAAAGGGCCTGATGACCACTTAAAAGTAAAAAAAGAAAAAGAAAAAAAGAATCCAAACAAAGGCAGAGGTTGTAATATCTCAGAACACTAGGGATAAATATTAAAACTTTAAAACTTGCAGAAAGAAAGAAAAAATTCTCATTTTTAAAAATTGGGGAGAAAACTGACATTGGAGATCTTACTAGCAATGCTGGAAACTAGAAGAATATGGAACAAGCTTAAAATTCTAAGAAAAAAATTTCTAGTCTAAAATTTTATACCCAGTCAAACTATGTATCAAGTGAAAGACAAAACACAGATGTTTTTCTGATATGCAAAGTCTCAAAAATTCTGTCTCCTGTATTCTGTTTCTCAGAAAGCTTCTGGAGGATGTGCTCCATGAAAATGAGGGAGAACACCAAAAAAGAGAAACATATGATATCCAAGTAGTGAGACCTCGAACATGAGAAGAGAGCAAAGGGAATTCCCAGGGTGGAGGTGACTAGAGATCCCAGGAGAAAAGCAGTGCAGCTGCCCACAGTGCTTCAGCCAAAAGGAGCAAGAGAAACACAGCTCTGGGCAGGGCATAGCCAAGGGGGCATATGGGACTAGGGGAGTTCCTTATGGATATAGGTTTGTTGTTGTTGTTTTGTAGTTGTTGTTACTATATTCAAATGAAATTTTGTTGGAAAATTTCAGAAGAATAAGTGATAGTTACTTGGGAAAGTCCTTTAAAAAGGGAGACAATTTCTAGGTCTGAACGAAAACAAAATGTTGTTCAAGAGAAGAAATTTAAGTATGACTCAACACAAGAAATTACTACTTGTCTCAACAGTGAAGAATATTTACATTGTCATAAATGTTAAATAATGATTTAAATAAGAATTGTGACATAATTATTTTAGAAAGAAGAGTACATGTGGTGTGTGTGTGTGTGTGTGTGTGAAGTGATAGCTGTTACAGTATTAAATCAGTTGAATAATGTTTAACATTAATAGATTTTTTAAATATCCACTTAAGCACTTCTTTAAAAATACTGAGGTAACTAGCAGAAGAAATTAATCATTTTCTTTATAAACGTCAAAGTATTATTTAAAGCTCTATGGACACTTTTATGCATAGAAATATGATTGCAAAAAATAATTTGAAAGAGTCATTTTCTATTTCTGGGAGATCCAGAGAATCTCTACTAAAGAATAAAAACTGTACCCCTAATCTCAGTCAGAGTTCAGACTACCAAGCTTAGGGATACTCTGCAAGAAAATGTAGACAGCCCACTACTTTAAGAGAGTTCATCTGAAGGCCAATTTACTGAGCCTCACTTGTCTCATCTCTAAACTAAACAAGGTCACATGGAACTAGCTAAACTCAAATGCAAGACAAATAACAAAAATGAGGCAGATCAGGTACAAATGGCAGCATCACTTATAGAGGAGAGTCTCTACTCAGACTCAGCCAATGGCTGCCATGAAGGCCCATTGTTGCTAAGAGGCCCAATGGTTCAAGAGAAACTGCAAAGCTGAGTTTTTACATGAAAGCTCCAGATTTTAAAATAAACACACAGTGCCTGCCAAATCGAACCCACCTGCAGGCCACTACCAAGTCAGAGATTGCCAAAGTGAGACCTCTAAATTAGATGAACATGGATGGCCCCTATAGGGCAGTCTGATGTCTCATTCCCCAAAATCTGTATTGAGTATATGAGTTTCTTCAACACCAGAGGGGAAGTTTGTTTTATCCAAACCTGACACGCTATATTACTTCACTCCATGACTTTCCCCTTCACTGTGAACACTCACAAATCTTCAGACCCAAGATCTGCATACAGCCTCTATCCAAGGAAGCATAGTCATCAGCAGACAAGTTCTACCAAACACGGCTGGGCCAAAAAATCAAAGAGGTATTCTCACAGGGACACAATCGGGTAAAAAGTGTCATAAATCTGTCTTTTCAGACATGTTAGTCCACAAAGACAACAATCCCTCTTAAAAACAGAGGACACTGTCAATCTCAGGAGTATCTTTTCATCTTTCATGAGAAAACTTTTAACCACCACTGCTAATTATCTTCTTGGTTTACAGGTCTAGAAAGATGAAGACCATGCTTTTTTTCCTATACATGTTGGGAACTGTAGCTGCAATCCCGGTAAGTATCCTTTCTTCTGTTACTACATCTCTCCCTCCTGACATTTAGTTTAGAAATCCTTCATTTAAAAAGTTCTTATAAAGTGATTTGAAATTCTCTTTTTTATTTTAATCATATTATTTTTTCCCAAGCAGGGAATGAATGACTAGAAAAAATGAAATGTTACTTTTTAAAAATATATTTCTTTCAGAACTATCAGGTTCTGTAAGATACAATTAAAAATGCAGCTGAAAGTGTTGACTATCAGTTTATTATCCAGGGAACATGCCCAAATAGCCAAGAGAACAGGAAGAAATAAATTCTCTGATGGAAGCTCATCACATTAATATGAGAAATCTTGGGGTAAATACCCACATTCTCCAGTTGCATTTTCTTCAAGATCAATACATACTGGCTGAGAAATTCTGAGTCTGCAATGAAAACAGGAACCAATAGTTCAGGGACAGGAAAGGGTATGGTAACCATAAACTGACTCCTAACTCATCCTTGGGGATCTGTCCAAGCAAACATGCTGAAAGCAGACAGGACTAGAACATTCTTTTCTTCACAGTCAGATATAACTGGCCCTGCCATTCACACAGCAATAAATCAGCAAATTGGATCATTTGAAACTATGTCAGCAGCCTCAAAATACATGAAAACTGACTTTTTGTTTGTTTGTTTAATGAAACTATGGTTGGATGATCATTTGGCTATCTCCCAAATGATCCATATCATCCTTAATCAAACTAAAGGATTGATGCCAATTTTTTCCTTTTCACCAAATGGAGAAATCAACCTCCTTCAAACAGAAAGAGCAATTTATCTCTTGTCCTTTCTCTCCCTCCCTCTCTACTGCATCTACAATTCTGTCCTACTTTCTGGATAGCTGGTAGCTAGCTTCTGGTTAACAGCTGTGTCAGCAAAGACTAACACCATGCCACCCAGCCCAAGCAGTTCTTAGAAAACAGAATTCATGACCACCGTTAAGAATCATGCTTAAGTAGTGAGGAGCTACTCCAGCTGGAATTATACATTGTCCTCTGAAATTAAAAAAGTGGAAGAAATTATGTTCAGCACATAAGTTCCCACAGAACCATTGTTTTCTCCTGAAAATGTGTTTTACCCTTGCAGCTGTTGCCATCATGTAAACAGTCATCAAAGTGTCTTTGAACCAAATGTTTGAATGACACACTTGCATACAGACAAGTTCCAGATGTTTCCTTTTTAGAACAATCTGTTCTCATACAGACCCCATCAAATGCTAAAAAGCGAAGTAACTTCTCCAGGGATTTACCTATTAACAAGCTTGTGTCATTTTCCCCTCCTGCCTGAATTCTCCAGAAGTAAATGGATTCTGTGTAGTTAGGAGACTCCACACAGATTTCCAGAGAGTATGTTGTTACAAAATATACCTGTGGACATAGTGATGAAAGAGAACTTCACTTTCTGAAAATTTCTGAACAAAGATAAGCTGCTATGTTTTTTATGCATTTCTTCCAGCTTGCTGAGGGGGAGTGGGGGAGGAGGAAGGGCCCAGGGACAGGGGAGCAGTTCTCCACTAATAAGCCTAAAATCTCCTCCACTGTTGTCCTCCATTGGGCCCCTGCCAGCAACTTGCCAAGCTGGCCACCATTCTTTCTCCATTTTCCTCTTTAAAATGGCTTCTTTGGAAGAGTTTTCAAATAGTATTATTCCTTTTAGTTGAAAAGGTAATAAGAAGCAAGAGAGCAAATCACATCTAAAATAAATCCTATACTCCATGGCTTTCTTTATATTATATAATCAGCCCTACAGGACCTGCTAATGGAGTAAAGATGAGTCCATCCAAATAGAATCTGAGTTTTAGACTTACACTTGGACCTGTCTGACATCTGAGTGTCCACAGAATCTCTCTAATAAAGATCTGTGATGAATACCTGCCTAAGGAATCAGACAGTTCCTATTATTACCACTGTATATTACTACTAGCTAGAGTAATTTTTCATTTGGGTCCCCCGTAAAATTCACAAAATGCTTTATATACATAGCTTTATCTTGATATTTCTGCTCACTTCACCTCGAGAGATGAGGGAGTAGAGATTAACAATTTGTCAAACCACCGAAAGACAGTAAACAGCAGAGACAAGACTTGAAGGGAGGCCCTTTATCTCTAAGTCCAGTTGTTCAACTTCTCCATCATGCATCACTGCCCAGCTCTTCATGTATGCCTCCAATCTTGCTAGACATAGAGCCATTCCTCTAGAGGAAGTGACACTCCCTAGCTGTTCACCCCTCCTACATTTGGTGTCTGTTTCACACAGTTTTTTTTTCCACACAGTTTTTGAATTAGTTCTAGATTGAATTATTTGTATGACATGATTTCTTGATGAATATAAGACCAATAATGTTAGGAAAGTACACAAATCCTGAGTAAAAAATCTGTAACTTTTTCTGCTAATTATCAATGAGTACTTAAAAGTTAAGAAAATGTACAACACTAAATCCTATGGTTAATTTAATTTCAACTTTCTACTAAACAACATTTTTCAAAATTATAAAGTATAAATACTTTTTAAAAGTTAAAAAAAGAAAATAATTTAAAAATCAAAGGTTGCTATTACTGAAATCATTTTTGCTCTATTTTCTCACAATCTCTGCATATGTAACATTTTCCTAATCATGATTCGGATTTCGTTTCATTTGCTTGTTCCCTTTAAACTTCTAGAAAATATCTTTTAGTTGATGATACGAAAGAAGCATATTACTGCTAACAATGATGACAAGACAGTAACTAGAAATTTTAAACATTAACATCTAGACATGAATAACACAAACCAGTTTTTAATTTTTTTCAGACACAAGCAAGGTTCCTATCTGATCATTCCAACCCAACTGCTGATTCCTTGAATTCCTTCCAACAGACTGAAATGCTGGTAACAGCTGAGCGCACTGCAGTTCCCACTGTAAAGGCTGAAGATGCAGAAAATGAAAAGGAAACTGCAGTATCCATAGAAGACCATCCCAACCATAAGGTACAAGTCACATGGTTGTACTAATAAAATTGGTTAAGTCTCCAAAGGTCTCAATTTTAAAGCATGGTCAAAGAGACTACCTCATTCACTGTAAGTTGAATTTTTTTTTAAGATATGATCTCATCAACTGCCTCCTATCACTAGAAGAACTGTGACAATTAATGAGTTTTCCTTGGGCTGAGGTGCTGCATAATCGTTCCATTTCACAAAGTTCAAATTCAGGTTAAACTTATAGCTATTGAATGTGAAGAACATCATAAATTAAGTTTACAAGATATAATGTGAAGAAAAAGAATAATGAATATTGAATTTTGGCTTATGAATTCTAAATATGATACAGATATCACATTATCATTTGTTTCAATAATAAGCTTTTTTTCTTTTTAGCCTGAAAAATCTTCAATACTAAAGTCAGAGGAAGAAAACTATGACCAGTTAGCAGATCAAGACCCAAGTTATGGCCAAAACCTGGGATTACAGGATCAAGAGGAAAGTGAAAGTGACTTACCAGCGAATTTGGAGTATACACCAACTGAAGGTACATTGGACCTAAAGGAAGATATGAGTGAGCCTGAAAAGGAAAAACTCCCAGAGATCACTGATTTCCTTGGTCATGATGTTAGCTCCATTGTAGATTCTAACCAACAAGAAAGCATCACAAAGACAGAGGAAAACCAACAACAAACTACAAATGACTCACATCCTCAGTTCAACAGGAGCAGCAAACATAGCCAAGACCTAAATGATCAAGGAAGCCAAGAGCAGGATCCAAATATTCCAAATGGAGAAGAGGAAGGGGAAAAAGAGCCAGGTGAAGTTGGTACCCACAACGATAACCAAGAAAGGGAGAGAGAAGTTCCCAAGGAGCATTCTGACAGCAAGCAGGAAGAAGACATTACCCAATCTGATGATATTTTGGAAGAGTCCAATCAACCAACTCAAATAAGCAAGGTGAAGAAAGATGAATTTGAGCAGGGTAACCAAGAACAAGAGGAGGAAAACTCCAATGCAGAAATGAAAGAGGAAACTGTGTCAAAAATCAATAAACATGATCAAGATACAGAATGGCAGAGCCAAGAAGGAAAGCCTGGCCTTGAAGTTAACAGCAACCATGAGGAGACGGGTAAAAAGACTCTTTCTGAGCCTTTGCTGGTGGAGCCTACTGATGATGGTAACATCATGCCCAGAAATCACGGGGTTGATGGTGATGGTGATGATGGCCCCAGATACAATGCAAGTGATGACTACTTCACCCCAAGCGAGGCTTTCCTGGAGAATGAAAGAGCTCAATCCAATTATTATCACATCAAATATGAGGAGCAAAGAGAAAAAGCACATGAGAATGAGAATGTGGATACCAGTGCACCTGTAGAAAACCAAGGGGTGAGATTATTTATAGTGATTGCCTGATAAAGTGTTTTATCAAAAAAATAGCCATGACCTTTCTCTGTGCTCTTGCAATCTCTTATGCTTATCTCTATCAGTACATTATTCCAATATGTTGTAATTATTTTTCTCTGCATCTCCATCTCCATCACTGGGGGGAAATGCCTGTTTTATTTGGGTTCCCCTAGAAGCACACCCTGGACTTTAGTGTAGTTTGTTTGAGAAGTTCAGGGAACAAAGAGAAGTGGAGAAGGGACACAGGAAGGAAAGGAAGCTAATCAAAGGTACATCATTAAAGCCATGTAAAATACATTCCTCTGAATCATGCCATTTAGAGAGTGAGGGAGCGGTGGCTTTTATACAAGCTGAGAATTACCATGAAGGGTGTTAATTTCTCAGCACTTCCAGTCTGCCTGTTAAAAGAGCAGGCCAGATAGACTGCCACAGCTTTCCAGGCACAGAGATGCTGATACTGGCAGTTGAAAGTACCTGGCACTAACTGGAATGGTAAATTCTGACAGATATGAGAGATGGTAGAGACATGACAACTGCTGCTCTAATGCCTTGAGAGCAGGTTCCAGGTCACAGTCAAGTTGAATCACCAATGTCTAGCAAAATACCTCTAACATAATAAAAGATCCAGCAATGTTTATCGATTTAGCCAAAAAGGTAAAGAACAATGACTTCAGCTACAACTTTATTACGGAAACACACACCAAAATGATCACCAAGAAATGGCAGCAGGGTTGGGGAAGGGAAGAAGCGTATTTTTATTTGGTTGTTTAGTCATTTGGAGCTTTCATGCAAAATCCTGGCAGCCACCCACCAGGAGCACTTGACATAGCTTTTTGTGGCCAAGTTCAATCGTAACTTCAGTTCCTAAAAACTCTGCTGCCAAGCTAAGGTAGGAGTTTTCTGACACTTTAGAAACCTGATAAGAAAACTTTCCTAACAGCTCCACAGAGATTAGTGATGTAATCATGTCTTAACTACAGAATCCCATGGTAAAATTACATTTCTACTGCTTTTCCATACCCAAAGGGGAGGTTCCAACCTTGCTTCTTATGTTAGTTCCAACTTCTATTGGGTAATCCCTAGAGATATAGCACTGAATCCAGTTAATAAAGATAAAAATGGCTCCTGTTCTCAAAGGGTTATGTCTACTTCTACATTTGTGGCTGGTGTCTCCTGAGATTGAAATGATTTGGGTATGAAAAGCTCTGTGAAAGGGTGTGCAGTGGAAATGTAAATTATGTAATGGCTTTCCCCTAAATAGACTTCAACTTCTGCTCTTGTTATTATAAAGGCCAAGAAAGTAGAGAGCTCACTGAATGAAGATGACAGCTCAACTGAAGGCAACATGAGGATGCATGGTGTTGGTGAGTGCCAGCTAAGCAAGCTGTCTGTGACGATGTCAAGGAAGAGATGGAATCGGCCATGTTGGGCTATCCCCATCTCTTCATTTGTGGCTACTGTACAGAATTTTCCCTCTCCCTGCCACTCCCCAAGGAAATGCTCCCATAAATTGTTGACATTCTCTTGCGCGCATTTGATATACAACTCTGGTAACTGTGTTTACAAACTGGAAATCCGGTTGCAGCATTACTGCAAACACTAGAATTCTTTTTCTCTTTTGCATCTAAGAAGAATAATTAATTCTACCTTATTTACTCTCAAATCCATAATTTACCACTGAATTTAGATCCCATATTTACTTGAGACCTAATTTTCAATCATAAAATTTTGAACTTCAACCAATAAAATTCTTATGGCTTATTTAATTAACTTTGGGCCAACTTGCACAGCATTGCACTATAAACATCAGACTATGACTGCTACAGGCAGGCAAAGCTTAGAGCTGTTTGTTCTTTTTAAATCCACAATGCAAACTGCACAGAAATCTAGACTTTTGTGTAAAACGGTCTGATGTCAAAGAGTCCCACCTAAAAATTAACACATCCATTAAAAAGACGCCTAACGTTTTCCCAATTTTTTTTCAGTAATGAAAATGGAACTAATTGCCACGATGAATTTGAGTTTACATACTAAATTTAGCTTTGTCCATGTTTCCTGTCCAAACTTTTCTGTCAGATTCTTGCATGAGCTTCCAGTGTAAAAGAGGACACATCTGCAAGGCTGATCAACAGGGAAAACCCCATTGTGTTTGCCAAGATCCAGTGACTTGTCCTCCTACAAAACTCCTTGACCAAGTAAGCATTCTACAAAATGGTCTTTAAGGGACACCAAGCAGTTAGTGATTTGAATGAAAGTCATTTGCAATTGAAATCTTTGTTTAAAAAATAATAATTTCCCAGGTTATCATCTAATATTTAAGTAATAGTCAACAGAAACAAATGCCAACAAAACAAGAATTTCAACTGCACGCTAAAACAACGGCATTGACGTAGAATCCAAATTAAAACTCATTTTAACCTTGGAACATCTGCAATTTTTATTCTACTGAGTTTATCTAGAGCTAAACTGTCATCACCGTTGGTATAACTGAGTTGATACTTCCGTGCCAAGTGGGACAGTTATGATTTTAATGGCCTCACCTACCCGACCACATCTTTGGCACAGCAGTTCGTCAAACAGCCTTTAAGGAGCAGAGTGTTTTCCCAATGAACATTCATAGATTTGAGCTTTTTTTCATTCTTGTCTTTCCTAGGTTTGTGGCACTGACAATCAGACCTATGCCAGCTCCTGTCATCTCTTTGCTACCAAGTGCAGACTAGAGGGGACCAAAAAGGGGCACCAACTGCAATTGGATTATTTTGGAGCCTGCAAATGTAAGAGTCCATCACTGCTGCCAACCACTGTTGCTGAAAGGGTTTTCAGTGAATCTGAGTAATATATATATTATATAATATAATATATTATATTATATATGTAATTATATATATATATATACTCATATATATACAAAAAACAATAACAAAAAAAAGCTAAAGGTAGTTCTGAATCCAGGCTGCACATTAAAATAACTGGGAAGACATTTTTTTAATTAGAAGAATAATTTTCAGGCTTTAACTATAAGAGATTCCGATTTAATTGGACTAGGTTGGAACCTCAGCATTGTTTTCTCATTTGTTTTTAAAGTAACCTAGGCAACCCTAATGGGCAGCCAGGGTTCAAAACCAGTGTGATAATGGTACCCACTCAGTAACTGAGATGAGTCATTGGAATTTTGTAAAATTAGTTGTCCTCTTCTCAAGTTACGCCTCCACCAAGAAGTTTTGATGATAACATATTCTTTCAGAATTTTTAAAAATCATCTTCCTTTCCCAGGATATTCTCAATTGTGTTTGGATTTCCTGGTCTCTAAGTGATTCTCCACATTAGCAGTGCTCACTAACCTCTCCTCTCTTTCCTGACACACAAAAAGACCCAACGTCTCAGCTTCCTTGGTGTTAGACGTGGCCACATGAGTTGCTCTGTCCAATGAAATCTGAGCAAAAATCATCCATGTGAGTTCTGGGCAGAAGCATTTAAGAGCTGGTGTGTGGCTCTCCATGCTCCCTTCACCTCATGTTGAGATGGTGTTGAGCCTGTGGCATCTCCACCATCCTAAGCACCAAAGAGACTGCGATGAGCAGAGCCCTCCTGCCATCTTGCATTGGATGTGTAGCAGGATGGAGAAATAAACGTTTGACGTGATGTACAACATGACGGCTATAGTCAACACTGCTGTATGGTATATTTGCAAGTTGCTAAAAAGTTCTCACCACAAGGGGTAAAAAATGAAAGTAACTATATAAGGTGATGAATGTCAACTAAACTTACTGTAGTAATCATTACACAGTATACTTAAGTCATTATGCTGCACACCTTAAACTCATGGTGTTGTATGTTAATTATATCTCAAAAAGCCTGAAAAAATGGTAATAATCTTTTGTTCCTTTAAGCCACTGAGATTTAACATTCTTACCATGGTATAAGCTAATTTGTCTTTTTTCTCTTTTCCCGTAATAAATAGCTCTTGTAACCTCCACCTCTGAATTCCAACTCTCTGATTCTAGAGCAGTGGTTCTCAGCCCTACCTGCACATCAAATCAGCCCTACCTGCACTTCTGGAACGATTAAAACATCCTGATGCCGAGGCTCCACCCTAGACCAATCAAATCATTATTTCTTTGAATGGAAGCTGGCATCTGGCATTTTTAAAATACTCCTGGAAATTCTGTTATGCCACCCGGGTTAAGGAACCCTGTTGTGTTGGAGGGGCTGTTAGTTACTGGAAACTGTTAAGCATCCTGTTTATGAGGACTTTCATGGGACAAGAGTAAGACCCAAAAAATAAAATCAATTTGCTTTCTCTTGGAACAGCTATTCCTGCTTGCACAGACTTTGAAGTGACCCAGTTTCCTCTAAGGATGAGAGACTGGCTCAAGAATATCCTTATGCAGCTTTATGAGCCTAACCCTGAACACGCTGGATATCTAAATGAGAAGCAGAGAAATAAAGTAAGTTATCCATGGTCAGCTGCCTAAGCGTCTGTCTTCAGGCCTAAGGAAAAAGGTTTCAAGGGGCAGGGGGTTGGAGGTGGGGTTCCTCTCTCTGCATATAAGTAATACATCTGGGTAACACATATGGATTAACAGAATACTAGTGGTCATCATTCATGTCACAAGGTTTGGGACACAGACAAACCACCCCATTCCTACACAAAGGGAATACCCTGAGCAAGGGCTCTTGAACATATACCTAGAGCAGGCTCTACTGAGCAAAATGAACCTCAATTCAGCATTTATATGTTCAGGCCCAGATATATAAATAGGGTGGTAATTAGGTTTGTTTGTTTGTTTGTTTAATGGAGTTACTGGGGATTGAACCCACGACCTCGTGCATGCTAAGCACACACTCTACCACTGAGCTATATACCATCCACCGTGGGCCCAGACATATTATTTAAATCTAAACAACATTTTTGCCTTCATAGGCGAGATACAGACTTACGATATATGGGAAATCCATTACTAGAAGTGTCAGTAATATATTAAGATTTAAAAATGCAGAATACTGCTTCCAGAAGTTCCCAGAGAAAATTCATTTATCAGATAGTTATTCAGTGCATCCCAGGTACCTAAAATTGATTTATGTGCTAGGAATATAGCAATGAACCAAACAAAAATCTCTGCCTTCCTGAGCTTAAATTCTAGGCAAAGAGACCAATATATTTCTATATACATGTATGCAAATATGTAAATATATGCAAGTAAACATTTATACAAATACATGTATAAGTTATGTCAGGTGGGATGAAACATGCTATACAAAAATAAAATAGTCAGGAGGGCGTGTATTAACTGTGTCAAACACTGTTTACAAGTTGTTAAGATGTGTGAGAGTTAGCCACTGATTTGGCATGTGGCACTCATAGCTGACCTTGACAGGAGCTGTTTCTGCTGAATGGGGAAGAGAAAAGCCTGAGTGAACAGGGTTCAAAAGAGAATAGGAGGAAAGATGTGGAAGCATTTTGCTGAAAAGGCAGAGTGTGAAACAGGGTGGCAAGTGGAGAGGAATGTGAATTCAAGAGTCCTACCTATCAAGTTCCCATATTAACAAGGAGGGAAATTGGTAGGTGAGTTCACAGGAACAAGCAGAAGTTCTGTTCTGTTTGCTTCCAATTACTCGTTGAAATAATGGGTAATGTCACAAGCTATGAGTTTTATAAGCATTGCCCCCCCAAAATTTCTGTCTTTTCTCTTTAACAATGCATCGACACAGACAGCCTTGAGAGCATTAGGTACAAAACAGGGAAATTTCAATGGAGATGCCAAACAGTGTCACACCAGGGCTAACCTGAGACTAAGCAGTCACTGGAAAGAAATCCATACAGGATTAAGAAACAGAGTACGCCAATGGGGGGAGAGCAGGACTTTTCACTAATAAACAATTTTGTCTGGGTCAGTTCAGCCCTTTTCATTATAACCTCATAGTATTTTTTTAAGAAATGTGATGAATATTACTTTGTTAAAAGATCAAAAAAGATTTATATTCTGAAAACCACAGGTTTTTAAAAAAATATTAGCTATTATTCCATGTAGAAGTAAGAAAGGCTGTAGTGTCGACAAGGAGTGTAATTTGTTTTCAAATAACATTCTGGGCTTGTTTTCCTCTGTCATGTTAGGATTACTCCTCAAGTAAAGTTTAGCAAGTGACAATTCCATTACACTTGCCTGATTCTCTATTGATCTTCTCCCTTCCGAATCTCAGGTCAAGAAAATTTACCTGGATGAAAAGAGACTCTTGGCTGGGGACCATTCCATTGACCTTCTTTTAAGAGACTTTAAGAAAAACTACCACATGTATGTGTATCCTGTGCACTGGCAGTTTAGTGAACTTGACCAACATCCTAGGGACAGGTAAAAACTTTCACCTTGTCATTACTATGTCATCTCCCTGATATCATGTCTAGTTATTTATACAGAAAATTTTTAAAAACAGGTTTAGGAAATTTCCCAGTTCCATTTCAGAACACAACAATGCCAAACAAATATGGTTAGGTGTCTAAACACAAAGCTGCTTTGAAAATAACAGAATATGGCCACGCCACAGCTCTCAAGTTTACATGTTAGGGTCCAGCCCCCCACAAAAACTCTTTCAACTCTTTCTTTCTCCTTTCAACTCTTATCTCCTTCAAGATAATCTGATTGGCCCCACTTGGGTCAAGTGCCTACATCTGGAACAATCAGGTGTGGCTGGTGGTAAGAGCCAGGCTGTACTCATATGATTGCTGGGTTCACCCCTATAAATTTAGAGTGGAGGGAGGACAGTTCCTAGTGAAGAAGGAAACCTTGTGAACTGACGCCCCAAAAGCTGTCTATCTTACCCATAAATAGTTTATTTCATTTGCAGCTTCTCATGATTGTATTATTTATTTGCCATCTTCAGCAACCTTGTGGAAGAAAAATGTCCTTGCTGATCCTGAGTTAACTTTTCATACATAAGCTACTCAGTTAATAGGCTGCCATTTATCTCATTGCAGAGTCCTGACACACTCTGAGCTCGCTCCTTTGCGCGCATCTCTGGTGCCCATGGAACACTGCATAACGCGCTTCTTTGAAGAATGTGACCCCAACAAGGATAAGCACATCACCCTGAAGGAGTGGGGCCTCTGCTTTGAAATTAAAGAAGGTAAATTCATTATCAGTCCAGGGAGAGTGGTGTCCTCTTCTCCAGACAAGCCATAAGCCCCACAGTCCTCACAGAGAGGTCCTGCTGTGTGTGCAAACTAGAGACCTAGAGACCTAGAGACCAAGAGACCACAAGGTGGCAGCGTCCCAGGGAGAACTGCTGTCACTGCAAGGTTCTTTCTTACTTCCTTTATGATACTGTTTTCAAAGGGTAGCAAGAGTAAACATTTGGAATAACTGCACTGAGGTCTCAGCAGTTGGCTAAGCCTAAGAAAGTGATGTGAATCTAGAGAGCTGTGCCAAATCCCAAAAGGCTACCCTTCTAAAGAAGGAAAGGTTTTTTATATCCTTCCTTAACCTGGGTATTGGGCTAAAGTGTGAAGAGTAAAACAGAAAGCCTGATTCTGACAATAGGAGATGCCAAAAGAATATCAGAATTTATTAGCACATTATTAGCACTAGCACATTACAGATTTTCACCAGTTATGCCCAGAAGTTATTCCTTTAACCCAAAAGTGATCCATTCCTGCATCTTCAGTGACAGAAAGAAAGAAAGAAAGATAGATTAATTTAAATTTCTCCTACAGTGAAGGAATTTAAATTGAGAATTTGTTTTGCTAGGTTATGTCTTAATCTACTTCCTTTGCTTTTCCTAAGTTACAGTTGATTTCTATGAGCATGTTTTTAATAATTGAGATTTGAAAGATGAGCAATCAAAACTGCAGAATATAAAGCAACAGTGAACATCAGTTCTCCAAAGCAGAGGTTTAATACATATGTTTACAACATACATACATGTAGGATGAATATGCAGCCAAAAAATAAATTCATCAACAGTCAGAATTCCCCTCAAAGAGGTAACTTGTGTGACCTTCACTTTAAAAATATTCTTCATGCATATGTACAATGCCTTGAAATTGTAAAAAAAAAAGCTGGAGTATCAGGATTCAGTTATTTATTGATAAACAGAGAAGCAGAAAAGGTCCCTTTCCTCTACAATATCATTCTGTGAAATAAGCACAAATGAAACGAGCAAAGAATGAATATTTTTGTAAGCATCTTGTTCTGTGTATTAGTTGTCTGTTTCTGTGCAACAAATTACACTAAAGCTTAGAATCTTAAAATCTCTCTCAGTTTCTGAGGATCAGGAATCCAGTAGATTACCTGGATGGGACTGCTTAGAATCTGCTCTGAGCTCACTTACATGGCTACTGGCAGGAGGCTTCAGCCCTTTCCCATGGGTTGCTAATAACATGGTATCTTGTACCAGAGAGAGACTTAAAAGAGAGAGTCCAAGACGGAAGCCACAATGTCTTTTAGAATCTCCTATCAGAAGTGAGGTACTTCTGCCATCTTCTGTTGGTGACTCAGTCTGACTCTGCTACAATATGGGAGGAGACCACAGGAGGTGGGGATCACTGGGGGCCATTGTGGAGGCTGACAACCACTGCTGTCTCCATCCTATTAACATCGATGGGAAATTAACATGCTATTAAGACCCTGACCCATGCAAATGATGTCAATTTCCTTTCTTAAATCTACTCTATTAAGCACAGTACTTACAAATTCAAATGTATCCCTAAAAGTGACTAACACTGTTTTTTCTAGGTCCCATATTAAAAAGACAAAATGTACCCAAGCACAGCCACCCTATCCCCTTCCCTCCACCATTATCAAGAGGAAAACTTAGCTGGGACAGGACATATTTATGTGTGCTCTTTTATATGGCGCATGATTATAAAGGAGTGACCCAAAGGCAAATTTAAACAGAGGCCGTTTGAGGAAACCAGTTGTGCTTCGCTGTTCCTTTTGAGGCTTCTGGAAGCTCTTCAGCATGTGGGCTCACTCAAGCCCTGTGCTGGGTGACTGGGAGGAGCAGGAAGGGCTTGAAGTTCAGTAACTCACAAAACTCCTAATGATCTTGTTTGTTCACTGTGGTTTGGCCATGATTATGTTATTTTGAAGAAGGGAAAGAATTATCACAGAGTAAGCCAATAAAGCAGATATTAAGTATTCAATCAGAACATGTAAACAAGTTACTGCTTTGAGATACAGCTAGGAAAAGAAAAAATAATAATAATACTAATGTCTATTTGTAAGCATATTCCTCATTCTCTCAGGACTGAGAAATCCACAGAATAAGATAAATTTTAGCCAGTGGGGTCCTGAATTTTAACTTCCTTTGCATCTCCAGATGTGCTGAAATATCCCAGCTCTGTCATTAACTAGCTAATGTGAACTAGGGCATGCCACTTAACCTCAGCAAATCTCATTTTCCTTGTGTGTAAAAATGGGGTTCAATTAAGAGGTGAAAGTCTCATTTATTTATTACCTATGACATACCATGTGTTGACATATATCCACGTTAATCTTAGGAAAACCTTCCAAGTGAGACTAATAGTGGAAACGAGTCACAATAAGCAGGTCCTGCTAAGCCACTTAGAGACACTATCCTCAGAGTACTGGAGGATAACCAAGTGTTTTAAATAGGGGAGTGATTTCACTGGATTTGTATCTAATAAAGATTCTTTTGATTACATTGTGCATAAGCCAGAGAAAAGCTGTAGTAAATCCAGACAGAGTTGATGAGAACATGAATTAGGGCAGTTATAATGGGGAAAAAGAAAAGTAAACATACTCAAATACATTTTTTAAAAAGCAACCTATAGATATATTTGAGAATATAAACATATTCAAGATGTATAGCATGGAGAAATAAGAAGACAGTGTTTGACAGGAAATATGTCGGGACAGGAAGCAGACAGTTGAGAGACTGAGAGCAAGAGAAGTACCACGCCTAGGTTCCTCGCTCAGGCCAGGCAGCATAAATAGAGGTACCTTCCAGAGATGGAAAATTAAAGAACAGAAGCAGGTTTGGGAGGAAATGATAAATTCTGTTTGGAACACACGGAATTTTGAAGTACTTCGGTGACAGTGTACAGTTGATAGAAGAATGTGTGGTTGTGCTTTTCAAGACAGAGTTTCGGAATTTAAATACATATTTGGAGATTATTAGCATACAGAAAGTAACTGATACTAGGGAAGAGGAATTAATTCCCTGAGGAAGATGGGCTGAGTTACATGGAAAAGGGTCTTGGGTTGAACACCAAGAACAAAGAATAGACAAGGAAGAAGCAGTTCACCAGAAAAGAGTGAAAAGTCTCCTGAAAGGAAAAAGAAAATAGGATGGTGCCATGTCTAAGGAGGTGTTTCAAGGAGGAGGAAAAGCACACAGTGCTAAGTGATGCTGAGATGTCAAGTGAAAGACGGGGAATATTTGCTGTACGTAGAAATAAGGATATCCTTGGTGGCCTTGGTGAGAGAGTTTTGGTAGAATGATAGAGATGCAAGCCAGACACTGAGAAAGAACAGGAGATAAGAAAGGCTAAAGAGTGAATGTCTGAAGGCAGGCAGGAGCTAGAGAGGGACACAGAGCCCGGGGAAGCATTTTTGAGAATAAAGAAGTCTCGAGCTCTCATTCGTTCACTTATTCATTCATTCACTCATCAAATCTTTACTGATGGTCTACATAGTGCTAGGCACATTCTCAAGGCTGGAAATGCAGCATATTTAAACATTAAGGGGAAGGGTCCAGTAAAAATAAAAAAGGAAAGATTGAGGACATAAAACAAGAAAAAGAAGAAAATAGGGGAGAATTCTGAAAAGATGAGAAGAGATCCTGGGCACAGGCAGAGGATTCACCTCAAAGTCAACAGGAGGGACATCTCTCATCTGAAGAACAGAAAAAAGACAAAAAAACAGGAGTGCGAATATAAGTAAATTTATAAGGAGCAAGACTATTAACCCTACCTTACAAATGAAGCCAGTGCTCAAAAGAAAGTTACCCAAAGTCAAAGTTACCAAAAAGTCTGTAATTTTTCCCACTTTTGGGGCAAGATGAAGACTTATATCTGGCAGGAAAATTACGTGGTATCCCAGACAGGGTAGTAGTTGAGTATGCTTCAGATTAATCTGCTTTAAGCATCTGTTTAACAATTATTGAGTGAGGTGGGCCATGGTGGTAAGGAGTGGTCTTATATCCCTGAGAGGAAGCTGTCTTCTTCCACAGGTGTGGCAATAAGTTCTTTTACAATTACTTGATCGGAACTTTGATTTAACTAGCATCATACTTCTGTTTATTTGGATTTTTTTTAGCAGCCCTTATAGATTAATGTACTTAGCTCTTCTTGGCTGGGCCTCCCCTCAACCACCTCTATTAGTGGTTCTCAACCTACATAAGAACTACCTGCAGAGCCTTCTAAATGTATACATGCCATTGGCCCACCCCTGGGGATGCAGATCAGGAGGCCAGGAATGAGACCCAAGAATACATATTTTTTAAAGTTGCATGGGTGATGTTGATGCATAACCAGGATTGAGAACCACCAATACGGCCTTACTGATGGCTTCTCTGACCCCCCAGCTCTAACACTGTTTGTTCATATTACTATTCTGGTTACTTTCTAAAACTGTATTTTGTTTTTGTTTTTCACAGAAGACATAGATGAAAATCTCCTGTTTTGAATTAAGATTTGAAAGAACGCAAACTTCCCAGCATCCTCCCCTGTTCTTATCACTTCTGAAGTATATGCAGCCATAATATTTGTAGATTTATATTTAGCAAAATGCTTGCATGTCTGAGAAGACAATGAGAGTCACTGCTTGATAACAGTATATGCACCAGGCATTTAACATTAACTCTGAAAATAAAACTCTAAAATTAAGTAAAGTCAATATATGCAAAATATCAAACATTGTTCACTGTTTGTGAACAAGAGTTTAACTCATCACTCTCTGCATCCAATTATGAGATACTTAAAAATGATAAAACTCAAAAAAAAGTAGGTTCATTTTGTCTGTATTATGTGCACTTCAAAAAAGTGAAATAATGTTCTTTGTTGTTGATGTATATTATTTTCAATATCTTAATATCCTAATAAAAGTCCATAAAAATCAAATGCCTATTTGTTTCCAGTCATTTACTTAAACAATTGTATGTGAAAGACCAGCCCAGGGCTCACACTTCATATCAAGTTACAGTTGTGCTTCCTGGACCCTACCGCTTAAAAAAAAAAAAAGTATGAGTGTGCTTGGAGGTGACTTTTCCTATGGGAAATAAATACTTAGTTGTTAAAATGGCAGTTGTTCATAAATGTCCTTTGCCATAATGTAAGTTTAAACAGAAAAAATTTTGAATTCAATTGCTCAATTAAGTTCAATCAAATCAATTCAGTTAAAAATGTGGATGATTATGCCCTGCTTGATACAACTGATTTTAGCTTTTGTGCTGGTGTATGTGTGTCAAGGGAGAGCGAGGCCCTGCAAAATCACTACACGTTTCATATTTTTAAAGAGAATATAAAGTTAACAGACAGTGGAGAGCCCTGAAGTGTCCTGATGTCCAATGTGGTCAGGTATGAATACTACTAGCGTAAGTTGATAGCAAGATGTGTCAGAAAAGAAAATTTGTGTTTTTATTTGAGCTCTTCTTTGGTAACTATTAATACAGTATAAGTGAAATTGCAAAAATATAAAAGATAATCAAAATAGAGTTTTCCAAGGTCTGAAGCAAAGCAGTAAAAGAACCTGTCACCCAGTTTACCCTACTTACAATATTTAAAAGAAAATAAAATGGTTTTTCACATATTTTCCTATCTGATAGAAGATATTAATGCAATTGTCTTAATTTTTTTTTCAAATAATAAAAAATTTGTTGTTGTTAAGAGCCTTATCTACAATCACTGAGAGAATAGGCCCCTAGGAATTTTATCTGAAGGACACTTAAATGACAGTTTGTTTTCTATCAGAATAATCTCTGATTAACTTCAAAATTGTGTTTACACTCTTAGTTCGAGTCATTTGTTCTTAACCAGACTACATCACACCATGCCATGTCTAGATAATTAAGATAAATTTGATTAATCAAAATATAATGAAGCATTATTTATAATTTCTCCCAACTAGGGAAATAACTTTAGGAATTATTCCAAAATTCAGAATGTTTTTATGTATACCTGCAAAGAAATGTCATGAAAGGTCCTAACTAATTAAAAAGCAAGTTTGTAATTGTACATTTGTTGGGAACAGTGAAATTAATTTTGGAGGCATTAATTAGACCTAAATTGCTATCTTTAACATCTTCTAAATATTTTAAATGTTTTGGAATAGCGAAAAGTGATTTTGATCTAAGGACTCTACCTAAATATTCACTAAAAATTTTTTACTTGAAAATAATTTGTTTTGAAATAAAAATATTATTTAATAATAGAAAGTTTTAGAACCTTAAATTTTTCTATTAATTAAGGCTCCCATGTGTATAGCTGCCCTGGATATATTGTAAAAGCACTCTAATATTCTTGGTAGTCACAATTTTTAATTGTGGGTTGTTTGTGATAAAGACATTACTCTAATCCCAACCAAGGAGATGAAGTTATTTTCTCAGTAATCAGTCTTTAAGCCTATTTCTGTGTAATTGACATACTTTAGAAGTTGGAGTTCCTTGTCTAGAACCAATTACTCAGTTCAGCTGCAAATTCTGTGACTCATATTGCCCATGACCACAAAGGTATTAACAATTTGGCTTAAATACTAGATAGGCATAGAGATTCTAGATCACACTGCTCTTTGAATTTGTTGCTCAAGGACCATTTGAAGCAAAGGTAACTGAAAAAACATACAGTGTGATTTGAACTGATTTTATTGCACTAGGTAAAATTCCGTTGGATAATTTAATGATTTCTAACAGGTCCACTTATCAAAGGAAGAAAAAAATTCAAGGGTTTGAATCCAGAAGGAAGAAAAATACAAAGGAGAAACATGAAAAGGGGAAAGGGGGATAAGGCAAAGTAAAATAGCACAAAGATAAATCAGAGCTGAGTTCCAAGTACATGGTATAAAATAGTTGAAGAGTGACATATATAAAGAGATATAACTTGCTTTGGATACTGGGAACATGCTTTAATAAAAATATGATGAAATTGATTTTTCTTCCAAAATTCAGTTCCAGAGTACAGTGATTTAGTTTGAAACTCACAAGGTAAGTTAATTTGAATTAAATATGATTTAAGACTATAAAAAGGTTTGCTTTCAGAATCAGCTGGCCAGTAAAGACAGCATTGATTTTATTTATATTATGTTTATTCTCTACAAACTCATTACGCCTTTCAAGATTTTTCCATATCATTTCCTTCTTGATGAAGTATAACTGTCTAGCAGCATCCAGGCCACATGAAGACCTGGTAAATCTCATGGGGGTAGAAGCTCAAGGTGGATTTATTCGTATATTATGTAAGAAATCTCATTGAGCCAGTGGTGATATATCTCTAATATTAAGCATGATTTGATGTTTGAAGATTTGTGGGTAGAGATCACAAAATCAAATAACTTCAGGAACCAAAGAGTATGGGTTGAACTTTGAGATTATAAGGAAGAATAGGAAGTGTACGTTAATGTTTTGAGCCCAAGAATGCATGTCTTGTTTAAAGATTTTTAAAGCACTGTTCTAGGCTTACAAAGCCTGGATCTAGAGACAATATAGCCTGACCACTATTTTAAAATCTCACAAAAAGTCCACTTACAATGAGAAGAGGACTTAGAAAAAACAAAAAATGATCTCCTAACCCTTCAATTCCAGATTCTTTCTTCAGAATGAAATTTCTTATCCTGGCTAGCCTTTGGATCACTGCCACTGCTCTGCCCATCCCTGTAAGTACTCCTCCTATTTTCCACTCCATTTCTGTTCTAGAGACAGTATTTCTGGGCTAGAAAGCATTTTCTATGTCTTTTCATTTCACAGAAAAGGAAAGTGGACTTCAGGAGATTTGCAGAACTAGGAATTTACCACTCTTCTTCACTCTAAGGGTCTCCAATACAAATCTCAGATCTACATGCCATTTGCAAGCTGCATGACCTTGAGCAAGGAAATAACCCATGGCTTCCCAGTCTGTAAAATGAGTTGTTAAGAACTACCTCAGAGTTGTGCGAGAATGATAAAAATGTATCCAACGGAACATAGGAAGCTCTCAAATATATTAAGCAATATAAAGCAAGTAACCCTCAGTGACCTAGGTCTTATTCAGGCAGTTTAAATTGAGTTTCATTTACAATACCCTTATCCCAAACCGTCTCATGTTGACTACAGTCATGCTTCATCATCTATACAAATGAGATCAATGAGTCTATTCCGCGTTTATTATGGTCTGACTATGTAGGGCACCTAGTAGGCAAGAAATCCTGTTCCCTGCACATTTTGTAACAAAGGAGCCTTCAAAGAAGTGAGGGAGCTTTCAAAATTTGCATTTGTGGATACAAAGTTTAAATTTACACTTCCATACTCTCTCCACTTTGAACTCATAAATGCTGAGAACAATTAGAGAGCACTCTTGATTCAAAGGTAAAGAGGCATGCAATATGTAATTAATCTCAAGAAATGCAAAGAAAAACATTCTTTGGAAGTAAGTTTAAAGGTAGAAAGTACAAATTCTAAATCACTGGACAAAATTAATTTAACTTTTCCTATTAGACTTGACTGCTTTTTATTTCGGAGGGAAAGCTACGTTACTGATGAGTGGCTTGTTACCTATTCTCATTTAGAATAAAACCTCTCCGTAATGAATAACGTATTGCCATATGTTGTTTCACCTTGTTGCTGTTATTGTTTTACAAGCTTGAACAACCTGGAGGAAGTTCCAGTAGTCAGGTAAACTTCTGGTTGTATTTTCAAATGACATGTTCATCACTTTTAAAGTCTGCAAATGTTTGAAATGACTGACATCCTGTATCTTGTTACAGAGATTCAACGTTTACCCACCGCAAGGACCAGCATTTTTTCCTCAGATCCCATTTCCCCCACCTCCGCAACTGCCCCTGATAAGCACAGGCTTGGGGGATCTCAAATCACAAAAAGTATTTATTAGTTGGATAATGGTTATAACATTTTCCAAATTTTGACACAGAAATATGAGGCTTTCGGAGGCCACCAGGCATCAACTACTCACACTTCTTTCCCTGCACAGCTTGCGAAAGTTTGACAAGGGACTAGCAAATTTCCCTCCAAAGCTTCAGTTACTTGCTCCCATATCTCTCTACACTTGTTATCAAAAAAGTACTTAAGGGTGGGGGATGGGCGTAGCTCAGTGGCAGAATACAGGCTTAGCATGCTCGAGGTCCTGGGTTCAATTCCCAGTAACTCCATTCAAAAAAAAAGAGGTGTTTATGCTGAATTAATTTGACTTTGACAAGCTTAGTTACTCTTTATGAAGGGAATGCTCATCTTTTTCTGTATTATCTATTCTTTTCCTAAATCACCTTGCTGCTTTCTTTCCTCTAAAGTTTTTTTTTTCCCAGCTGTCTGTAACTTTTTCTCACAGGTCAAACAATATAATTATTTTGTTTTTCTTTCTGTACCCTCTCCAATCCCTCCTAATATCTGGATTCTTAAAACATTTTTTAAATAAAGGTCAGAACAATGCTAAATACATAATAGAGCTGCCTTTATTGGTACAGACAGCATATATTTGGCTAATACTTACTGAGTGTCTACTATATAATGGGGTCTACAGTGAGTGCTGGAAATACAAAAAGGTATGAATAAGTTCATGATCTAACAAGGAAGAGAGCTTCATAAATGAAAAAACAATGTATTAGTGTAAATGCTTCTAGATGCAAATACAAAACCAGTTGATTTAGGCTGTGTGCCAAAGACTTCTTTCACAGAGGAGAAGTATCCAAGCCAGGTCATGAGAAGTAGGTGGGGCACTCCAGGCAGAGGGAACAGCAAGTGCTGAGAAGGACAGGCAACTTGGGGAAAGAAAGACTAGGGTAGGGTAATGAGGCTGCAACACAGGTTGGGATATCTTAAATAAACAGTATTTAGCAATGATGTTTTGAAAAGTTCATACACAGTTTAAAATAGCATTTTGTTTGACTTCTTGTCTATTACCTAAATATTCTTAAAATATAAGCACAATTTTGCATAATTTTGCTTTTATATCTAAATGTAACAAACATCTTCCCTTGGCTTATATTTAATTTCAAACTGTTTATTTTTTAACTTTAAGTAGGCTTTTGGAAATTGTCCCTAAAGTTATAGTCCTCAATGGAACACTCTTTCCCTTTTATGCTTTCACACAGCCTATTTCAACCTTAGACACTAAATTTCTAAGTTCTTACATTTAATGCAAAATCCTGGAGTTTTGGTTTATAATTAAAATTTAGGAATCACTATTAACATCTTATTTTTAAATTATGTAAATCTGTGTGGCAATACAATCACTAGTATTTGAAATGGAAGCTCTTCCTTCCACCAGATGGCAGAATAGTATTAAAAATCCAGGCAAAGAATGATTTACCGTACAGAAACTGATGGATTTGCAAGAACTATGACCACAAAAGACAGATTCCCAAGCTTTAGGTTTGATTAATTAAGCATAATAAGCATACTTCTTGAAAGAAAAAATGATTTGAAATCTACTAAAATCTAATCTCTCCCATAGAAGGAGGACTCCCTGAGAGCATGCAATTGCTCAATAAATACTGGATGAATGGATGGATGGATGGGATGGATGGATGAGTAAATGGACGAATAAGTGAGAAAAAAAGCTAAAACAAAATGTGAACATCACACAATTCACTATTTTTTCCTTTTTTGTAGATTCCAATTCCTCTTCCTTTTCCATTTCCTAATAATCCAAATCAGGTAATTATACTTAAAGTTTCTTTTATGAAAGTATTTAAAAGAATACAAAACAACACCTTGAAAATTCTTTACATTTATTGGGAAAGGAACTTGACACCAAAAATGGCTATCATTCTCCTTTGGGGATCACTAGTGATTGATATTTTGTCCTATTTGAGCCATTTAATGTATAAATCTCACACATCTTTGAAAACTGAACTACCTAAAACCTGAAACTTTCCTTGACCAAGTGGATGGAACCCAGGAGACTAGTAGAAAAAGAATTTGAAGTCAAATAATCTGAGGATGCAAGCTCTGTCATTTAATACTTTGGAGTAATCTCAAATTCCTTCATGCCTTACTTTCTCTTAAAATATAAAATAGTGAAAATGAATGATATATAAAGTCCATTACATCTCTAAAATTTTATGCTTACAGTGGGGAAAAATGCATTCTTACTGAAATGGATTCTGTCTCAGAAGCCTCTGAACTAGATTTAAGATTATGATCATGGTATAAAGGGATTATTTAAATTTTACTTTTGACAGGATCTTACTGAAGGAAAATCACATAGGATGAGACTGACTCAGTCACAAGCAAAAAACAAATTGTGTATAATATAGCATGTTAATTCCAAATTTTTTTATGTTACTTCTATTACAATTATAGGAAATGATATTATTAAAGCTTCTTTTCATAAAGAGGTGATCCCCAAATATAGTCTTTTTTCCAACCTCATAAATGTAAGTTTAATGATCATTCCAAGAAGTTCCTGCTACTTTTGGAGTCCACAAAAGAAAATGTGGACTACATGTTTCCAGAGATAGTAGGTTTGGGGCTGGGTGCGGGGGCAGTACTATGGGGTAGAAGTACTTAAAATATTAGTGAATGTGAATCCTACTGACATAATCTTATAAATGCTTAGAATTCTAAAAAGCACGTTTTCATTAATCAAACTAATATAAAATGTATAACATTGAAAAGATAGATAAAATGCTGAATTATAACCCCTTGATTATTTGATTATGTTTCTTTATTCTAGGTCCTGACACTTGATGACCTTATAGCGGTAAATTCATCTGCCTTGTTAATCTTTAAGTTTATAAAAAATATTACATTCAACACCCTATATACAATGAGCCAGTTCATCTTATCATCTATCTTTATTTGTCCAATTCATTTGGAAACAAAATAAAGTGTGGCTATTAAATTCAAAGCCAAAAAACTATCTCAATGCATGCAAACAGATCTATATTCCTTTATTCAACTCATCCAAATTGACCAAACAGCCTCTTCTATCATAGATGAGGATGAAGGTGAAGAGTCACAGACTTAAGAGTGATAGAATAAATTGCTTTAGGAGAGATGAAATAGACTAGATTATTTCTTCACTAATGACTTATTAGCATAAATGCATGATACAATAAAGATTATCAATTCTAAATCCCAGCAGATAACTTTTTTTTACTGAACTGCACATAATTCAACTTTTTAATGAGGCCCTTTATTGATATGTTATTCAAAATCTTTGTTTATGAAAACATAGGAGAAATACTTAAATTACAAAAGAGAATACTAAAAAATTTCATTTCCCATACACTTTTCACACTTAAACATTTTCTGAAATCAACACATCTCACAGCAGATGCCTTTAACTTAGGATCTCCTTTTTCTTTAAGATGCATCACTAACTAAATGGCACACTTCACAGCTGATGGTATCTTAGAATTAGAGACATGCAGAATTTTGCAAAAATGTCAGAAAGTTAGGCCTCAATCATTGTGTGCCTGAGGTAAAAATTTTCAGGATTCTTTAATACAGATTATTTAAAGTCAATCATCTTGAAGAATATTTAAGTGTCCCAGAAACTTTAAGGTCAAATTAAATAAGAATCTAAGTCTTGAATTCAAATAGCTAGTGCTCTTCCCACAATCAGCTCTGTTTAAACAGTATTATAGTCCATTTCCAAATGACAAATCACGAAAATTCTAGCATATTTCTAGAACTTATTATACATATATATATAAATACATGTTCTAAAAATGTTTAAGAACCTATCTTCAATAATCATTGATAATTACAAAATTAGCAAATCGACCTTTACATCAAAACATGGCTAAAAGAGCACTGATCTGTTGTGGGGAAGCCTAAATTATAAGCTCATCTTTAAAATTAAATCAGCTGTGTGACCTTGGGTAAATGTATGAATATACCCGCAAAGTCTCTTCCAGCGAAAATACCGACTCTTCAGACATCTAACTCATACGAATTACCAAATCTGAACACTTCATACACTATTTTATGAGCTTTTAAAAAGTGCTGTTGGTTACAACCCATCCTGGAAAGGATCCTAGAATACTTATAGAACTGCCATTTCTTCATAGTCATGAGAACTTTTTTCTCCCAATGATTGTAGCTAAGTCAAGGAGCAGGAAGAGGAATTCCGCATTGTTCTTGCCTAAGAACAAGCAGGACAGTGTTTAGCTTAGATATTCTTGCATCCGTGCTGGGAGGGACAGCTCTATAAACAGATTTGCCTTTTTGACAGAGTGGTCAATTTCTTGAGCAAGCTGCCAGTCTCTTAAAACAGGACCACATGGGAGTTACAAGGTAATACTTTCCCAATGAAATTGCTTGTGTAAGCAAACCCTGGAAGCAAAGTCATACTTGTCTTAAAATTTTGGTTCAAATATCATTCACACAGAAAATTTCACATAATTTAAGAAAGATAGCACTTTTATGGAGCTGTACATAGAGAGTTTCTTAACCAGTCACATCAATGGGGGGGGTAATTAGGTTTATTTATTTGTTTGTTTGTTTTTAGAGGTGATACTGGGGATTTAACCCAGGACTCTGTGTATGCTAAGCATGCACTCTATCATTTGAGCTACCCCTTACCCCTCCACATCAATTTTCTATATTTCAGATATAGTGAATACTGTTACAAGGTAGTTAAAAGAAAATATTTTTGTGAATTAGGGGAATTTGAATCTAGATATTGCATATTCATTTTAAAATCTTACACTGTGTAAATAAAACACTAAGCAGTAAAACAGAATTAAATTTTCAATAAAAACAAATTTTCATGTAGAAAATACTTTAGCTTATATATGTACTAAGTTAAAAATAAGCTAAAAAGTAAACCCACTGATATCACTGATCATTGATTTTTCTTCTTTCACAGTTAATCATTTC